GTGCATTGCCTGTCACTTTGCTGCTGATGCACCTAATTTTAACCACTGAGACACAACAAATTTCTGTTCTTTTTCATTTATACTTTTATTAATATGCTATATGTCTGTCTTTCTTAACGTTTGAGTTTGTTTTGAGCCATTTATAAATAAAGTAAAAGAAAGACAATAAAAAACACCCTTAACAAACACCCGTTAACAGGAGAAAAAGGAAGAAACAAAAAAATGTATGTATTCATCCACACATACATAAATATGTAGGCTACAGTGTTTCCTACACATTCTGTTAGGATGGGACACGGGATCCAATTCATGGTTTATAAAATAAAGCTATAGTTAGATATAAATACTTATAGTCTTTGTTAAATAACAAAACAAAGTATTTCAGCATGAAAGCTCAGATTTTTCATTTGTGATAGTGATCTGTATCATAACTACATCTCTGCCATTTGTAAGAAACCAAACTGTGTGAAACTGTGGGTTTTTGACAAGTCAAAACTCCTTTTAAGACACTGTATCTGGAACTGAAGCCTCCATAGCAATCAATGGTAAATCTGACGTCATTCTACTAGTCAAAATGTAATTAGAGATATCTTAAATATGAAACAAATATGAAACAAATATGACTAGTCATAATTCAATTTCAGATATCTGGAATGGAAGTGTCGTGAAACCGATTTTATGCTAAAATGGCTTGCCATACCTCAGCTGCAGTGTGTTGGTGGAGGGAGGGGGCAGAGTGGAGCGTGGTGCGGAGGTTCACACAGCGGGAGGAGGAGGCACACACAAGCCGCTCACAGCTGCAGTCCGCTGGGCTCCAGCCTCGGATCATCCCGGTAAGTTCCGCTGCTTCTCCCCGGGTTTGAGCGTCTCCTCAGCGGGTTCAGACCTAATGAAAGGCCCGCTGTGATGTTGGCTCGGTTCGGCTTTCTGCTGCAGGATCTCCGGCTCCTAAATAAACTAAATTAAATAATTTGATGTCTTGTAGGGGAAAAAATTAATTAGGAGTTTTATTACGGTTTATTTAAAGTGGTTTTTGTAGAAGAGTTTTTATATTTCTTGTTTACAGGAGGTAAGTCAGCAACTTTTGTGTCTGTGAAATTTAAAAATGTAACGTTTTATAATAATTATAAAAATCCAGGAAATATGTTGAAATTTAACCGAATTGGTCAGAATTAGTTGAACAGACATTTATGATACAAAATTCTGAAACATATTTTAGTTTATTGCTGTTTTGTGCAGAAATCGTCACATTTTTTTCTCAGAGGTTGTCTCCTCGTGATACAAATAAATTCATAATTAAATCACAGAAACAGACCCCCCCCACACACACACACACACCTGAAATCAACAAACACACACACATCTGAAACAGATTTTAACCTGAACTGTGTGAAATATAACATTAAATAAAAAAAATAAACACTGCTGGATTTCTAACTTGAGTTGCGCTGTTAGACTCCAAATTAACAAAGTTAAATTAAACAAATTCAGTGAAAAGCATGTAAAAATGTATACATTT